ACCCTACCCCCCATCCCCACCATTACCCCCCTTTAGTTTATTACCATGTGTCTCAATTCCTTTAGATTCTATATTTCCCATGCTATTCTTGCCCCCCTTCTATTTTCTATCTACTGTCTATGCTACTTATTTTCTGTACCTTCTCCCCCCTTCTCCTCCTCCCACTTCCCTGTTGCTAACCCTCCTTGAGATCTTCATTTCTATGTTTCCACTCCTGATCTAGCTGTCCTTTTAGTTTGCTTTTGTTTTAGGTGTGGTTGTTAATAACTGTGAGTTTGTTTTCCTTTCACTGTTCATGTTTCTTTAATGTCTTTTTCTTAGATAAGTCCCTTTAACATTTCATATAATAAGGGCTTGGTGATGATGAACTCCTTGAATTTGATCTTATCTGAGAAGCACCTTATCTGTCCTTCCATTCTAAATGAAAGTTTTGCTGGATAGAGCAATCTTGGTTGTAGGTCTTTGGATTTCATGACTTGGAATACCTCTTTCCAGCCCCTTCTTGCCTGCAAGGTCTCTTTTGAGAAATCCGCTGACAGTCTGATGGGGACTCCTTTGTAGGTGACTGTCCCCTTAGCTCTTGCTGCTTCTAGGATTCTCTCCTTCATTTTAATTTGGCTAATGTAATGATGATGTGCCTTGGTGTGTTCCTTCTTGGGTCCAACTTCTTTGGGACTCTCTGAGCTTCCTGGATTTCCTGGAAGTCTATTTCCTTTGCCAGGTTGGGGAAATTCTCCTTTATTATTTGTTCAAATAAGTTTTCCACTGGTGGCTGTGCCTTTCCCCCTTCTGGTACCCCTATAATTCAGATGTTGGAGCATTTAAAGATGTCCTGGAGGTTCCTAAGACTCCCCTCATTTCTTTGAATTCTTGCTTCTTGACTCTTTTCTGTTTGGCCATTATTTGCTTTCTTCTGGTCCACTCCATTGATTTGAGTCCCAGTTTCCTTTTCATTGCTATCGGTGTCCTGTGCAATTCCATTCATTTCAATTAGTTTTGCCTTCATATATTTGTCTAATTTGTGGCTATAATCAACCAGTTCTGTGAGGATCCTGATGACCAGTGTTTTAAACTGTGCATCTGAGAGTTTTGCTATTTCTTCATTGCTTAGATCTATGGGCTCTGGGGCTTTGAGATCTTGCACCATTTTTGGTCTGTTCTGGCCCTTTAAGTGTAAGAAGCGGCGCGTTGGACTCCCAGGTCGCTGGGTTGTGACGCTGTATGTGGTGGCGTGGTCAGAGCGGGGAAATGGCGACCCCCTCTGCTGTTTCTCACAGCTGGGCGAGGATTAGCGTCTTAGGTGGTTCACTTGGGCAGGGCCACTCAGAGTCGCTGGGTTATGACGCTGTATGTGGAGGTGGGGTCAGAGCCCTCCACTGCCGCTTGCCGCGGGGACCCGCTGGGCCCCGGTCCAACCGCCCACTCCCTCACCTATCCGCCCGCTCACAAATGCTCGACCACAGTCAACACGCAGCACCGCTCCCCCGCTGTCTCCCCAGCGGTTGCTCGCCTGGTGGCTCCCTCGCCTGGTCGCTCGGTCGCTCACTAGGTCCAACCTGCGCGCGCCTGGATTCCGCGCGTCTGGATTCCGCGCCTGAGTCTGTTGGACCGAGACCTCCTGTGCAATCCCGCTTCACCAGCCGCTGGTTTAGCCCCTTACTGGTCAGGCTGAAGAATTTGTTGTTAACGGACTTCCGAAAAGTTCAATTTTCCGTGTTCTGGCTGTGTTTTCTATTGCTAATATTTAATTGTCTCTAAACTTGGTTGTGTGAGAAGGCACGGCACATCCACCTATGCCTCCATCTTGGCGGAAGTCCGTAATTTTTTTAAAGTAGCCTGTCGTGGTTAAAGAAGTAAACTATAGTCTATGGCTTGTGGAAAAAATATTTCCAAATTGAAAATGTAAATAGTTTATTAATGTATTATCTTTGGATGAGCTTTTCACAAGTTTTTTTCTCTTTTTTATTTTCCATTCTATTCCAAATGTTTCTGTATTAGTTTATGTTATTAAGTACTAAACTTTGAAAAGCATCTACATAAACCTACAAATGGATCATTTTAGAATGAAAGCTCTAGGTGAGTCATAGTTGTCCAATATCATTAATTCAGAAAAAAGTATTTTCTAAGAGTCACAATTGCTTCAAATCAGGCCAAAATTATTTTACCTTTAGGATTTTATCAATAATTAATTTCTGTTATAATTCAGTATAAAAAGAGCAAAGGATACAAAGAGGCAATTTTCAAATGGACAATACATATGGAAAGACATTTAATATTATCATTAATCTAAGAAATACATAATAATAATATATAATTTAGGAAATTGTAATAAAAGTTAATGTGGAGATGTTTGTTAAAAATATGAATAGTGATCACCTCTCTGTGTATTCTGAGTTACTTTTAACTTCTTATTTGTATTTCAATGTACTATTTGACCTTTTTCAATGTATATAATTCTTACAAAATATAAAGTTATTTAAAAAACTGCCTCAATACTTGTTTCCAAAAAGAATTATAGTTAACTGATCAGAAAGAAAAATTCAGAAACAAAACCAAACAATTCTGTTAATGTGATAGACATATGATTTTAGATAAGTGTAAAATAGAAAGAATATCAAATAAATGATACTAAGAAAATTATCTGGCTGTAAAAAAATGTATGTATGTGTATATGTATATGGATGCATATGTATATGGATCCCTAAGTCATTGCTTACAAATTTCTGATGTTACAAAATTTAACACATATTTTAAACCATTAAAATACTATAAAATATGACAGTGTTCGTTTAAAAAATTTATCTGTCATTCTAAATACATATAAGTTGCAGAACAATATTTATGGAATAACCTCACTGATTTAAATAATTGTTTACTTAGTGTATGCTTTGAGTAAATTATGAAATGGAGGGATACACACCCAGTAGATTTTATTCACCATTTTATCGTTATCCTCAACCATACGTGCCTGGCATATGACCTGCACAAAAATATTGTAGCTGAATGACTAAATGAATGAACTCTTACGCATTCTCAGTGGGACTGTAAATTGAGGGAACTTGTCTGGAGATAAGTTTGAAAATACATGCCACAGAAAAAAACGAGCATACACTTTATTCTAGCATTCCCATTTCTAGAAATTCATTCTATGACTAATTGTCACAAGTGTGTATAGTAGGTGTGCAGAGTTAATATTTTTTATAACAGAAAACATTGTGTACGTTATTGGAGAGATGGTGTGAGAAATATCTGACTTAGTATAAGAATCTGGTCAGATAAATTAAAGCAAATATTTCCATAGAATATAAATCTACTTTAAAATAAGATGTTGATCATTTACCGTGAAAACATAGCCTAAATTAATTGATAAATGAGCAGATTACAAAATATAATGTGATGTCACACAGACATAAATAGGCAGGTGTGTAAATGTCCAAAGAAATTTCTGAAAGGAAATGCATCAAAATGGTAACAATGGTTAGCATTTGGTTGCTAAGACTGTATTTTTACTATCTCTGGAATTTTCTAGATTTTATTTTTTCTTTAAAATACTTACTTTGAGAATAAGAAGTAAACAATACAAGTAAATTCATTTACAAAATAGAAAATAAAACCATTTTGTAACTCATATATGACTAAATAACAAAGCACAAATCCTATAATAAAAAGTAACATGAACGTTAATCTAACTTTAGTGTTTTTACTCATTTGAAATAAATAAATAATCCAATTTTGATTTACTACTTGTATTGTGTGATCAGGTTTAGATAGTAAATGTGATTATGTTTTCTACATTAGTATATCAAGTCGCCTCTCTGGATATATCTGCTTCCATAGAAATAACAAAATATCTTCCAATTAGGTTTTTAAAAACAATATCCTGTGAATTTTTATTCATAAAGAGATACATAATTCTTGTTGTTCATAAAAATGGGCTAAAATATGTTCCTTACCTTTCAATGAAAAGTGAACACTGGTCTTTTGGGTTCTACCAAGGGAGTTGTTCTGTAGAAGAAAAGAATCCTGTGAATAAAAATAGCACATGCCTGTTTTTAAACTTCATTTTTGCAAAAGTTTATTCATACATGAACGGGTTTCCAAATCGTACTGCTGTTTGGCTAGAATTTCACAACGTTAGAAGGAAATTGGTGGCAGATGACAAAGTACAACCTGAGAGAGGATGCACTTTCAGTAGCACAGATCCCCCCTTCCATTCTGCCGTTCCTGGAATTGAAACCTGCTGCAGAAAAAGTACAGAACAAACAGTTGCTTTTAAGTAATATTACGTATGTTTGAATATCCTTTTATTTTATCTACTAGGTTGCAGTGAGCATTGAGTAGGGCTACGTGGCAAGTCATAAGCAAGGTTAGGGGACAGTATATTATATGCCAGCTTTAAAAAAACATATGGTAAAAAATGGTGTAAACTGACTCAGGGCAACATGGGTTTCGCAAACCTTGTAGGTGGATACAAAGCAGGCAAACACCGCAGACAAAACTGCTACGTGGAAAGTTTGGTTTCTAGCCCCTCCCCACTTTGCCAGTCAGTGACTGCCCCTTTATTTTCAGTGTAAAATACATGGTCATAGAATACTCCCATAAATAGATTTAAAGAAAATCATACATAATCAGACTATCCAATGATGCCATTTGGAATATTTTCATCCAATTTTTTAGAAATAAGATTTTTTGTCAGAGGCCCCTGACAAACCCAACAGGAATTCTTGATGAATGGACGGGAGAAGGACAGTCCTCTTCCCTTCTTAGGAAAGGAATATTTTTTGCCTCTCATCTAAGCATTGTTCTTTTTTTAAATTATAAAACTGTAAAGATACAATTTTAAGGTGGAAAAAAGTCTTCCAGGGGTATGTGCATCAGCTACAAAGGACCCAATGGGAAGGTGGGCAAAGCCTGCGGGAGGGGGGGAGGGCGTGGCATTTGGTCATCCATTGGGCTTAGGGATTGTCAATAAAGCGTGCACAGCCAATGAGATGGCACACTGGGAACTAAGTGAAGGGGACATAGGAGTAAACTGGGAGGTCTAGTCTAAACAGTGGGGAGATTTCCGAGTCTCACACTGCACCATTCAGCCAGGAGACAGTTGGTGTCACTACTGTCGCCCAGGCCTCCTCCGCACTTGCTACCTCCGCTAGATAGCTGCCGCCCAGCCCACGCACTCCTGCTCCCTTTGCTGCTGCCACCTCCTCATCCAGAGCATCAGCGACCCAAGTATCCGTGAGTCATTTTTTTCTGCCCTTCTCTGGGCGCGTGGTCCCAGCTGTAGTTGCCACCTTAAGAGGTTTTTGCAGGCTGGTAGAATGGCAGAAGCAGATCCTAAGGTGGTCTCAGAACCTGCCGCCCAGGGGGTTGCCGAAGAGGTGATGGCTAGCTCGTCCAGTGATTGCGGGGAAGAGTCTGACAGCAGTAGCTCTAGCAGCAGCACTGGGTGCACCAGCAGCCCCCGTTTCTGTAGAAAGAAGTGGGTACCTGAACCTTCTAGGAGGGCGGCGAGGAGGGCTCCATTAGGGAACAATTTCGTGGATTGGCTGCCTCGGGCAGTTCGAAATCGTGTGCAGGCGCTCAGAAATATTCAAGCTGAATGTGACAAGGTAGACGTCCTATTCTTAAAGGCAATTCACGATCTCGAAAGAAAATATGCTGAACTCAATAAGCCTCTATATGATCGGCGGTTTCAAATCGTAAATGCAGAATATGAGCCTACAAAAGAAGAATGTGAATGGAATTCACAGGAGGAGATGTTCAGCAGTGATGAGGAGGTGCAGGAAGACAGCCCTAGCGAAATGCCTACCTTAGAGGGGGAGGAAGAAGATGACCCTAAACAGAAATCCGAGGTGAACGCTGAAGAAAATGAGATTCCTAAAGAAATTCTTGAGGCAAAGGCTGACGAAAATGCAGAGTCTAAAGATCTTCTGGAGGCAAAGCCTGAAGTAAAAGAAAAGCCTAAAGAAGTCCCCCAGGCAAAGGCAGAAGATAGAGAACAGCCTAAAGCAGCAGACGCTAAGGCAAGGGCTGCAACGAAAGAGGCTCCTAAGCAAGAGGCTCCTAAGCGAGTTCCTGAGGTCAGGCCCAAAGAAAGAATGAATCTCAAAAGAGCTAGAAAGGGAAAGCCTAAAAAAGAAGACCCTAAGGGCATCCGTAACTATTGGCTGACTGTGTTAAAGAATGTGGAGAAGCTCGGGCCCAGGATTCAGAAGTATGATGAACCCATTCTGAAGTTCTTGTCAGATATTACCCTGAAGTTCTCAAAACCTAGTCAGCCTCTAAATTACACATTTGATTTTTATTTTCGGCCCAATCCATACTTCACGAATGAGGTACTGACCAAGACATATATGATAAACTCAAAGCCAGATCATAATGATCCATTCTTCTTTTGGGGATGGGAAATCCACGATTGCAAAGGCTGTAAGATAGATTGGAGAAGAGGAAAGAATGTGACCGTGACAACCACCCACAGTCGCACCACTGCTGCTGGAGAAATTGAAATCCAGCCAAGGGTGGTTCCAAATGCATCATTCTTCCATTTCTTTAGCCCTCCTGAGATTCCTAACATTGGAAAACTGGAACCACGAGAAGATGCTGTCCTTGAGGAGGATTTTGAAATTGGTCAAATTTTGCGTGATAATGTCATCCTGAAATCAGTCTATTACTATACAGGAGAAGTCAAGGGTGCCTATAATAAAGGTAAAGATTATGGAAACAGGAAATACCAAAAATAAAGAGGCCGTCTGAAAGAAATATTAAGATCTCAAAAGTTCAAGAAGTGAAGCAGGTTTATATAGCTGTGAAATAAAACCTGCCCTGCAACCTCATTACTACTATTCCTTATAGTCTTGTGTTATTGTACTTTCTTGGTACTCTAAAAAAATTGTGTTAAAGTGTCTAAGTATCAGTTTATTCTATATAGCCTATTAAAGGGTAATATTCCTTAAAACCTGTAAACTGCTGTCAGTTATTTAAAGCATGGTAATTTGGTGTTACAAAGTTTTGATTTTTGTGAAATCCTGTTGTCATGTTCCTATTAGAATGTATCTGTGAAAGTTGTCAGAATTTGAACTGACACAAATATTTGCCTGAACAAAACAAAGTTCCTGAAGTACCAATGCAAGTGTTATTTTTTCCAGCCTAGAAGACTAAGGGTTTATTTTTGCTTGCATTATCTGTGCCTTCATTACTTTGCTATAGAAATACAGTTTTTATATTAAGTAGAACAGTGCATTGTAAAATTTGACTGCTTGAAAATATTAGCATACATTTAAGAATGTCCATCCAGACCATATATGATATGACCATGATTCTATTTATATGACAGTGGTCTATACATTTAATCATAATGAAGTAATTGTTTACTACCAAGGTGTTAATATGATGTAGTATTTTACAAAGTTTCCTCATGTTATACTATGAAATTGTAAAGTTACTAACCAGATTTTTTGTAATCTGTTTTACTTGGCCTTTCACTGAAAATGATCACTTTACATGATTTGATATTTTTCATGTACTTTTATTGCAACCTAAAATAAATAAGTGGTAAATAAAGTGTATCATGTTGTAAAATAAATCAAGCATTTTCTTCTAATTGTAAAAAGTAGTCTTTATTATAGAAAAAGTAGAAATTATTGAGGAAAGGGGAATTTAAAGATGTATAACTATCATAACATTCTTCTATATTTCCCTGGATCTTAGCTCTTCTTTGGAGGGAGAGGGGAGAGAGTGAGTAGAGTGAGGGGGAAGACTAAGAAAATGGGAGGTAAGAATGAAAAGAGAATGGGAAGGAGAAGGATGGGAAAGGGGAGGAAGGAGGGAAGGGAGAGGGGAGGAAAACAGTGGGGAGTGAGGAAGAAGGGAGGAGGGGAGAGGGGAAGTGGGTAAAGAATAGGAAGAATGGGAGGGGTGGGCAATGGCAGGGGGAGGGCAGATGGCATGAGTGCCTCACACAGAAAGCACTTCTATATAAGCTGTTGCTTTCACCTCCAAGAGCAGGATGGGTAAATGGTCCAGTTTGACAGGGGAGGAGGTCACACTCCCAAGTGTGGCTTATTTATTCTTATAGAAAACATCATCCTCTCACCTCTTCTGCACAGTCCAGTTGGTTACAAGGTAATTACACCTTAAGATTTTGGCTTGATATTTGTCTTTCAGCACCTGGTCTATTTCACTCAGCATAATGCTTTCCAGTGAAAGCATTCCATAAAAAAAAGACACTGAAATAGAGAACAAGGGGACAGTGACCAGAGGGGAGAGGGAAGGGAAGTTAAGGGGAAAAAGGGGGAGGGATTTGGAGGAACAAATAGGAAGGACACAGGGACGAGAACTAAGGGGGGGTGGAAATGGGAGGGAGGTGGGGAGCAAGGGGCGGGGGAGGCTGGGATGGAAGAAATAGACAAAAAAACTGTACTTGAAAAATAACTAAATAAAAATTTTTTAAAAAATTAAATAAATAAATAAATAAATAAATAAATAAATCACACATCTAATTAAAAAAAAAAAAAAAGATTTGGGCTTGAAGTTATTGTGAGGAGGAAGGCCCATGAACTCAGTTCACCAAAGGGCTTTTCCACTGGGCACAAAGGCACAAGCACATAAATAAATAAATAAATAAATAAATAAATAAATAAATAAATAAATAAATAAATAAATCATATCTTATCTCACATTTGCCATTTCCCTCCCCCCCACATATATTTTCCTTCAAGATTCTACAGGAAAGAAATGTGGTAGGAGGAAGACAGAATTGTTTTTCCAAATCCCACCATATGCAGTTTAGTATTTTGCTTTTATCTTTGTTTAGCAATAGCCCCTGATGCCTATAAATGTAACAACAATATTACAACTCATGATTAATTATGAATGTTGGGATATTTAGGATGTTAGGATTGACATATCAGGAAGCAAAGGATTGCTTTTAGCTATGCCATTGCAATTTTGAGAGTGTCTTTGCTTTATTCCTGAGATTTCTGCATCCAGCAAAAAAGAAATATAGCGACAGGTTTACTTATATGCCAGGGCCAAAACGAAGACTATAATTAATATGGTCACTGCTGCAGATGTTCCCAATTCAGATATATACTGTGCTTGCCTGACATCACAAACAGCAGAGCCTTCAAAACTTCTATATGGAATGTAACATCCTTATTGCATCTTAGAACACTTACTGAAGTATTTATTTCAGCCCTTTCGCGCTTTGTATTTTCCAATATTAAAGGAACGAGTACTATTAGAATATTTGCAAAAATAAAAGCAGAAATGCAAAGAATAAAAGTCATTCAAAAGCACACTGCAGTAAGATATGCCCTGTGGGTAGGTCGTAGTATTGGATATTTTCTTCCAGTCCATCTCTTGATTAGGTTTTATGACAAGTTCATGGCTCAAATTAAATGGTGAATTCAAGCTGGGTGGATGTAACAGGATAATTGGAAGACAGTTTATTGATATTTTTATTTTTTCAGTTTAATCCTGGGGATGGGGAGCAGGTGCCAAGGATTTTTTCATCAGTAGACCTAGGGTTCCAGAAATACAAGAAGTCTGCTTAGGGCTAAGACAACCTTGGCTAGTGGAAGTGGACAGAGCCGGGGAAACTGGCTGGACTTGCACAATCATTGGGCTGCGGTTTGTCCATCACACTTGCTCAACCAATGAATGATGTCAGAAGGGGAAGCCCACCAGGAACATGCTCCTCGGAACATTCCCCACCTTCTTCCTAGTGCACTGTTTTCCTTAGCTGTGATTCAAGGCTGGGGCAGGCTGTCCCCTTCACTGCCCCCATCCTACAAGGAGGTTGTGGTCTCCTCCCCTTCCCCCTTGCTGTCTCCCTCCGCCTGTCCCTCCTTTGTGATTTCTATCCCACCCAGACATCTAAGACAGTTACTCTAAAAGTTTTCTCCTTTCCTATAATGTGGCTGACTTCATGGCGAGGGGCTTTCCTAAGCAGCAAGAGGTAATGGTAGAAAGTGTGGATTGCTAAGGGAAGATAGTGACAACAGAAAATAGTCAAATGATGCAAATGCAGGGTTCTGTGAGGCTCTAGTCAGGGAGCATGTGATAAGATAGAAGCTTGACTTGAAAAGCAATTGTAACCTCTTGGCAAAAAGCATAAACCCTCAGTTAATGACGTGTTTGTACCCACTGACCCATGTATTAGGACAACCCGCAGTACAGTAACTTCAACACAACTATGCATTTCTTCACATTTTATGTTTATGTTTTGTAGAGTATATTTTTCAATTTCAACAGTGAAATAATTTAAGTATTAAAATACATGGAAATTGAAGTATACTGTTGTTCAAGAGATGCAGAACACAGCAAATTTTCTAAAGCATCTTTGTTGATTGTTACGTAAGTTAGTCCTTACGATGTCTTTTTGGCATATAGCTTTTAGAAAGGAACTGGGAAAATTATCAGAGCTCTTCACTGAAGTTAACATTTACTTGGGGAAAAAGCCAATTCAAGTGTGTGTTTGGCCTCCAGGTCCAAAACAGAAAGGATTTAAGTCAAGTTGCACCAGGTGTAACTATTAATTATGCTATGGTACATTATACTTTTATCACTTGAATAAAGGAGCATAGAGTTAAAAAATTTCAAGTGTGCATTAATATCAAGTTTCCTAGACTGTGCTTCTGAATTTTGCATGACACAGACTTAAAAAGAAAAGGATAAGAATAATGAAGCTGTTATTTTTCCACTGTGGTGCTAATAAAACTTAGTGTGTTTCTCATCTTTTACTCATGATTTATATAAATTAAGATGATTAAATGTTTTCTTTGCACTACACTTCACTGAACTTGTCACTTTATTATTATTGTTTTATTACATCTTCTGATTATAAAATATGTTCATTATAAAAATTTGGAAAATATACTGAACAGTATAAAAATGAGACAATTATAAGTTCAAAGGTAACCATGGTTTACATGGAAAAGAAATGTCTATATCTATCTTCATTAACATGATTACTGCTAGTCTATTCCTTTCACTTTTCATTTAATATATTTTGGAGCCTTTTCTATATTAGTGCATGTAAACTTCACTTTTTAAACACGTGTTAAAAACGGATATTTCAGAGGGACTTCTGCCAAGATGGAGGTGTAGGTGGAAGCACTGTGCCTCCTCCCACAACCAAGTTTAAAAACAACAAAGTTTTAGCAACAAAAACACAGCCAAAACCACAGAAAATTGAACTTCACTGAAGTCTGACAACAATGAACCCTTCAGCCAAACAGATAAACCGGTGAAGGAGGGAGCAGTGAGACAGACCATGCAGGCCCCAGTGGCAGGAAGCAGCAGAGGGGACCGCCATTTTACCTCTCTGACCCTGCCCCCACCTACAGCATCACAAACCAGTGACCTGGGTGGCCCCGCCCTGATAAACAACAAAGGATCCACTCCTCATACCTAACAGGCATGAACAGATCAAAACATGGCTCAAGAAGAACTTAGAGTCCCAGAGCCGATAAATCTAAGCAATGAAGAAATAGCCAAACTTTCAGATGCACAGTTCAAAACACTGGTGATCAGGATGCTCACAGAACTGGTGGATTTTAGTCACAAATTAGAGGAACATATGAAGGCTAAACTAATTGAAAAGAAGGGAAATGCACAGGAAACCAATAGTAATGGAAAGGAAACTGGGACTCAAATCAATGGAGTGGACCAGAAAGAGAAAAAAAATGACCAAACAGAAAAGAATGAAGAAACAAGAATTCAAAACAGTGAGGAGAGG